ATAATAATAATAATAATAATAATAATAGTAATGAAATAGTGGGAATAAATAAACAGTATAAAGAATAATATCTTACGTGTCAAAACAAATACTAATTGATTTTATGATTAAGTATAGGCCTATGTCGTGTGTTGGCCTATTTGGAGCCATTAATCAGATAAAAAACAAAAACAAACAACAACAAACATTAATAAATAATGGAAAAGAAATATATTAAGGACAAAGTTTCATGATAACGAATATTTGAGAATTTAGATTCGAGTGTTCATTAATAAAGTTAAATAAAACAAGTCATTCTTGAGCTAAAGATTGCGAAGTGCGACAAAAACAAAAACAAGAAACAAAAGCAACAACAACGAAACTTAAATCAACAACCCAAAGCAACCACAAAAACAATGACAACAGGAAAAACAAAAACACCAACAACGACGAAAATAAAACAACAAAACAAACAACCACAAAACAAACAACAAAATCAACAACAAAAACAACAAAAACAACAACAACAAACAACAAAAAGCACAACAAAAACAAAAGCAATAACAAAATAGCAACAACAACAACAAAAGCCACAACATTGACACACACACACAAAAAAAGCAAACAAACAACAACAACAACAACAAACAGAAATAAAACACCATCAGTCCTTTAGCCAACAGCTGTTTACCAGTGTTTCTCGAAGCTTTCATCAACGTCTCGCCAATTTTATCCAAAATCAAATTAAACGAAAAAACCAATAATATGATAATGATACTAATGACGATAATAATGATGGTAAGAAATAATAATGATAATGATGATAATAATAGTATGAGAATACAGTATAACAGTAATAACAAAGATGCTGATAAAGATAGTAATAGTAATGATGATAACAATGATAATAGTAATGATGATAAAAATGATACAAAATAATGATAATAAAAAAAATAATGATAAGAGTAATAATGATGATTAGGATAATAATAGTAATAATAGATAAAAAAATAACAATGATGATGATGACGATAATGATGATAGCAAGAACAACGATGATAATAACAACAATAACAATAACAAAAATAACACCAAAGGATAACACCGATTAAATATAGACTCGACATTTGTCTTAATTGCCCAAAAGACAAGACGAAGAGAGCGTGGAAGAACATCTCCATATCTGCGTCTCTCTTCTCTCTCTTTCTCTCTCGTTGCTTTGACTCTCCCTCTCTCTCTCCTCTCTGCTCTCTCTCTCTCTCTCTCTCTCTCTCTCTCCTCTCTCTCTCGTCTCTCTCTCCTCTCTCTCTCTCTCTCTCTCTCGCTCTCTCTCTCTCCCTCTCTCTCTCTTCTCTTCTCTCCTCTTTCTCTCTTTCTCTCTCTCTCTCTCTCTCTCTCTCTCTCTCTCCCTCCCTCTTCCCTCCCCGCCCCTCCCACCCTCCCTCCCTCCCTCTCCCCTCTCTACCTCCCCTCCCTCCCTCTCCCTCTCTCCCCTCTCTCTCCCTCGCTCCCCCCCCTCTCTCTCTCTCCCTCTCTCCCTCTCTCCTTCTCTCCTCCTCCCCTTCTCACCTCCCTCCTCTCTCTCTCCTCTCTCTCTCTCTCTCTCTCTCTCTCTCTCTCTCTCTCTCTCTCTCTCTCTCTCTCTCTCTCTCTCTCTCTCTCTCTCTCTCTCTTCTTTCTCTCTCTCTCTCTCTCTCTCTCTTCTCTCTCTCCCTCCCTCTCTCCCTCCCCCCTCCCTCCCCACCCTCCCTCCCTCCCTCTCCCTCCCCATCTCGTTCTGTCCGTCAGCCTCTCCTTCTATATAACCTCTCCCCGTGTGGTTCCTCCATGATCGACGTCGCCCCGAAGTCCTTTCTTCTCTCGACCGTGGTGGTCACTCTCTCAATCTCCTTCGGCTGTTTATGCTACTTCTCTACTATCGTTCCCTCTCTCCTTATCCTCTATCTTCCTTGTCCTCTCTCTACGTGCCTCGGGCCGTAAGCCTACATCTTACTCCATATCACTCACCCTCCTCTCCTCTGCTCTCTCTGTAACCTCTACGCGTAAAAGTCCTATCGGCGGTGCATGGTTCATAGCTCTATGTCTCTCACCAAGCCGGACCCTCCCTCCCTCCTCTCCTTCTCTTCCCAATCTCTCCTCTCTCTCTCTTCTCTCCCCTCTTCCCTCTCTCCCCTCCCTCTCCTCTCTTACCTCCCTCCCTCCCTCCTCCCTCTTCTCCCCAATCTCTCTCTCTCTCCCTCCCTCCCCCCTCTCTCTCCCCTCCCTCTCTCCCTCTCTCCCTCTGCTCTCTCTCTCTCTCTCTCTCCCTCTCCCCCGTCCTCTCTCTCTCTACCTCTCTCCCTCTCTCCCTCTCTTCCGCAGCCAACCCTTATTCTGGCTCCATTTCCATGCAAATCGAAAACAAACTTTCGGCGACGACTTCAATTAGAAGGAAAACGGAGATGACGATAAGAGGAGATAAAGGACTAAGGAGTAAGGAAAAAGAAGAAGAAGAGAAGAAGAAGGAAAAAAAAAAAAACGAGGTACGAGGATACTGATTGATGTGAGAAGGAAGAGGGAAGGGTGGGAGAGATGGGTAAGTAGATATAGTATGTATATATAGCGTACAATACACATGTTACACAGAAACACCACACACACACAGAACACACATAAACACAGACAGAACATACACAAACAACATACATATTAAACACATACGCAAACACACACCATACCACACCAAACAACACAAACAACGCGCACAT